CCCTTTTTCCCTGGGTGTATTATATTGCATTGTTATGTTCCACCTACTTGTTTTGTGGTTCAGGTTGTAATTACAAACATGGAGGCATCTGTAATGGAGCTTGATGCAAAGAAATGGCCTGATGCTCCTGCTGATAATGTGTCTTCATTTTATAAGGTATGCTTACTGCAGTCCGTTTTAGCAGTGCTGGGTCCTTTTCTTTTTTCTTTTTGGATTTTATAATGATATCAACATAATTATAACTATTATCCCTATGGGTATTATTGCCTGATTTCCAAATAACTCTAATTACCTTTCTGAAGTACAATCTACAGCTACCCTCTTTATTTATTTATTATTAACTGATGTTTTGGGCAACCATGCAAAATTTAATATAATATGAATCACATGTTCATTTCCTGGCTGTTATTTTCTCAAATTATCTGTGTGGTTGATGCAACTGTGTGACCAAGTACGTTTGATACTGTTCTCTTATTAGGTCCCCTTCTCTAAGGTTGTGTACATCGAAAAATCTGATTTTCGGATGAAAGATTCTAAAGATTACTATGGACTTGCTCCCGGGAAATCTGTTCTCCTCAGGTGGCTTATTCTTCACAATTAAATAAAATTTTATATGTTGTGTGGGAATTTTTATGTCATACTGAACCACACCTTTCCCTTGATGCAGGTATGCATTTCCCATCAAGTGCATTGAAGTGATTTTAGGTGATAAGAACGATACTATTGTCGAGATTCACGCAGAGTATGATCCATCAAAGATGACCAAACCAAAGGTAATTGGATTCAGTGCAGTTAATTGCATAAACACCTCTGAAGATTTAGCCATGTCTTTCAGAATTGAAAATTAATTCCCATGTTCTCTACTTTTCCTTATAAGTTGTATATTTATAAGAATATTGTACGCAGAATCCTGCAGAACTCGAAGACAAGTGGCTTGATGATTTGAACCCAAACTCCAAAATTGTTATATCAGATGCCTATGCTGTTCCTTCTCTCAATGATGCTGCAGTTGGAGACAGCTTTCAGTTTGAAAGATTAGGTAAATTCCTCTACATCATCGACATAATTACAAGAATAACCCCCGTGATCCATCGTTTTCATATATATAAATTCAATAAATTATTAATTTATCTATTGAAATAACAAAATACTGTCAAAAGTATTACAACCTATACGAAGCGTGATGTGATGAATTTGGTTTACTCGGTATTTCAAAATCAGCTATGTTGGGTTTTAAGTTGTTTTTGTTTTGTGTTTCACAGGCTACTTTGTGGTTGATAAGGACTCGACACCCGGAAAGCTTGTGTTCAACCGGACGGTTACATTGAGAGATAGCTATTCAAAGTGAGGGAAGTGAAATGGGAAGCCTATGGATGGTTCCAGCAAAGTATACATTACTACTATATACCATCCTCTAATGGAAAATTATTGTGAAGCAATTCAATTTACATTTTCAAATACAACTTGATTTAATAAATACGAGAACTTCGTAATTTGATTTCTAACGGATCAACTGAAATTTAATGGATTATAATCTCTATTATCCCTGATTAATTTTTCGAGAACGATCTTCAAGTGAAATTGAGATTTGGAGAAAAATATTTAGTTTGATCTCCATCGGTCTTGAATTTGAATTTAAATAAATGTTTCTTTGAGGGCTTGACAATTTGATCTCCAATCTATCGTCGTGATTTCCCAAGAACGTGAAGAACACGTGTCTTTGGTGTTTGCCGCAAAGTTAATATTCGGAGGTTTGACAGCTTGTTTCCAGATTGAACGTCAGTCTTGAGTTTGAAAGTGCTTGAATCTTCCTTCAAATCTTCAAGAACGCCTTTGTTTCTTTAAGAACACTTAGAATCTCGTCGAGAGAATTCTCTAGAGCTCTTGAACTTGAATATGAATTGTGTTTTTTATCTTAGAGACAATTTCTATTTAAAGATGTTAGGAGAGATAATCTTGGAAAAGAAGACTTCAATTTGATTTATTCATGAATTTTCATTATTTATCTCTTTAACAATTATTAAAAGAAATAAATATTTTTTTTATTCTCCAAGAAAATGACTTGTTGCATTCTTTAATTGGCCTTCAAAATATACATGTGACATTCTTTAATTGGTTAACAATATATATTATAAAATTTATTAATTAACTATTTAATTTAAGAATTAAAATTTGATTAATTTCAGATAGAAAATTATTAAATTGATTCTGACATTAAATTTGGCACTTGTCGCCATTTAATTGACTCAAAATTTATTTGTCTATAATAATATTTTAGGAGGATATTAGGTTAGAAATTCATATGAATTTGGGATTTAAATTTTGTATATACAAGTCTTAATATCAAATCGCGAAATCGCTTTCATTTTTATTTCGTGTCCTAGACTGGTGTTGGATAATTCTTGCGAGATAAATTGATTGAGTCTTTTATTTTTATTTTTTTATTTATAGTTGTTGATTATTATGCCATTAGGAAAAAATAATTTTCTAAGTGGCGCCCATTAATAGTCAAGACTTGCATGATTGTGTACGTCTAGGAGCAAAAAATCATGATGACTTTTAGTTTTCTTCCAAATCTTAATTGAGAAGGTTGTTAGTAGTTTGAGAAAATTGTTGTCTTTCTATAGAGGTAATAGCTGATTAAATGTGCAATAGTTTTGGGTAAAAAATATTGGTTCACTAAGTTCAAAAGTTTAATTATTAAATAATTTTTAAAAAATAATCTATACTTATATAATAAGAATTAACATTTACTATAATTAATTATCAAATTATTCAGACAACATTTCAAAAATACTAATTTTGGAATTTTTCGGACAGCCCATGCATAGCCAAAATATTTTGACGTTGGTTGCATAAACTTGAAAATCGGAACACGATCTCATATTTTAATTCAAACTGTTTATTTGAAATTTGATTAATATATGTCAGCCCATGCATAGCCAAAATATTTTGGCGTTGGTTACATAACTTAAAAATCGAAACACGATCTCATATTTTAATTCAAAATGTTTATTTGAAATTTGATTATTATACGTTCCAATATCTGATTCAATACACATCTATTACCATTAAAGCTCTAACAAATATTGAATAGCAATTTAAATAACAAATTATTTAGACATTTTTTGTACATTTTCGATCTATATATACATACACATATAGGTAATAAATGTTAAACACATATACATATATAATAGATGTTAAATTTTAAATATTTTTAAATATATTTTCTTTACAAGATGTTGTAGGTGGCTTCACACCTTTAAAAAATAATATAGAAAATTTTGGATATTTTTACATATATTAATATAATAATTTAGGTGTTTTTTAATATTTTAAACATGCAATTTTATATTCTATTATACAAGATAATTTATTTTGACCCCACATCTTTAATTTTTAATTCTTATTTAATATTATTTATACTCTACTTTAATTTATAATTATTCTTTTTTTCCTCTTTTTAAAGAGGATCAATATTAATTCCCACTTCCTCCATTGAGTGACTCAAACTCGATTCATATTTATAATTACTATTTAATATTATTTTCTGTGCATCGCACGGGCTACACATTAGTAGTAATTTCGATTGATTTGAGGAAGTATAAATGTTAAATAATATGTACAGATCAACTTAAAGAAAAAACATTGAGAAATACTTGCTAAATATTTTGTATGCACATAAAAAAAAACACTTTTAAACTTTGAGGACCCCGTTGGCTACAAAATATAACCGAGTTTTAATCGAATAATTCTCTCTTGAACTCATAATTCAACACATTTTTTTTTCTCAATATAATCAAATAATACAAATCAACCATCCTCAGTAAGACTGAGCACAAGCTTGAAAATTATTGAACCATTTCGAAAACCGAAACGAATTCATTCTAAATTGAAAAATATTCGTTGACCGTTTGATTATCTTCAAATCGAATCGTACTGGAACTTTTTTGCCTGTATATAATTGCATTTAAAATTAAATTGTAAATTCACATCGACGTCAGAATCTTTAACGTGTTTTGCCTGCGGGCTGACGGCAAAACCCATATTGATTCACAAGGTTCACATATCACACACATTAATATGCCAGAAGATTGCAAATGTTTCTGGTAGCTCTTGTTGGTTTTTGAAGAAGAGAAACATCAAACAAACATTTACGTGGATACTGAGAACCTACTTACATGGAAAACACAGCACCATTCACACACTCCAGAAGCCGAGCAAAACAACCCAAGCAAAATAATAGTAAAGGGCTTGATGCTTGAGAAAAAGAGCATTCAGGTGCATGATTACCAGACATGATTGTCTTGAGGATAATATTCAAATATTACCACATACTATCGTACATTTTTCAGAGCAAAGCAATCTTCCACAGATCTAAATAGCTATAGCACACAACAATACACTTCATGACGGCACGTAGGGGACGAGCTATTTTATGTCTAAAAGACTAAAGCACAAGTCTTTTGACATGACAATTCCACAATCATGAAAAGATCTCTGAAAGTAAACTTACTAAGAATTCCGTGCATGTTTATTTACATATACAATTACCCATAACAAGCATACGGACACATCTTGTAAATTAGTAAACAAACAGTGCATACATTTTGGAATCACATTATTGAATGGCTTGGAACATACAAAAGTTGGATTGTGGACACACACAGGAGCAAGTAAAACATATTTGTTGCAATGAAAATCTAATCACTAATTCAGTTGAGGTCTCATTGAATTGGCCAAATGGAGAGCTACAATTGAAGTGGCCAAACAAAGGGAGATTAGGCTAAGTCTTCGTAGGCCTTTCTTGAGCTACTAAAATGCGAAGCTCGACTAGCCAAATCCGACATGGTTTGCAGCTAAGCTATCAAGCATGTTTTTCAAGACACTGCACAAGCGTAGCAATTTCATATTTGTCGGCATTTAGGCTGCGATTTGTCGGACTTGAGACACTCGATGCGTACGCGTTTGGGGCATTTACATTGTGGCATTGAATTTTTATAAGGTTGTCGTATGGATTAGCTAATAATAAGATTGGTTTTTGGGTGGAGGGAAAATGAAATGCTAGGAGAAAAACATAGAGCAGAGCAAGGGCCATTGCTTAAAGTGTCACATGTTATGTAGTGTGAATGCATGAACTTAGGATAAAAAACATAGAGCACAGCATATTCCAGTGCTAGATACCCACAACCCTAAAAGAATACAATTTTTGGAAGCCGGAAAAGAAAAAAAACAAGGATGAAAGAAGATAAAGGGGATCTTGTTCATATTTGATGTCTAGGGGACTTATCTTAAGAAGTCTGTCAGGAATAATACCTCTTAAATCAAGGTTAACAGCTTGGGAAGGGGAAGAGGACACAACAGGCTTTCAAAGGAAGAAAGGGCAAAGCTGTTCGGCGAGCATTGTGGTTATAATGGACATAAAATCCAAGGGTGCTTCAAACTACATGGCGCTACTAATGGAAAGGGAATAAATCGAATCAAAGAAGAATAAGTTCTGCTTTATTTGTCTCTCCATGCATTAGATAAAAACCTATTCAAAATGTATCTGATTATTCCATAATTATTAGTCGATAGACCAAAGCTGTATTAAAAGATCAGATGATAATAGCAACATCAATAAAATTAAATTTAAAATTTCACCCAATGTAAAGCTTAGAGGTACATTACATATAAAGTAATCGAACTTCCTCTAAGATATCTTATATCTCTTGTTTGCCTATGGCTAGGGCAAACCCATATTGCCAAATCTGGCATCCATTGCCTAAGAAGCTAAGGTTCAACACTCTCATGTGACCAACATATATTTAGTTTCCAAAAAAAAAAAACAAAAGATATATAACTGTTAAGGGATTGAAGCTTAAGAAAAATAGCAGGTGCATAGATTACCAGGCATGATTGTCTTGAGGTTAATATTCAAATATTACCTCATACTATCGTACATTTTTTAGAACAAAGCAATCTTCCACAGATCTAAATAGTTATCACACAATAATATGCATACGAACACATCTAGTAAATCAATTCCACAATCACGAAAAGATCTCTCAAAAAGTAATCTTCTAACGAAGTTTCCACGCACGTTTATAACATATACAATTACCCATAACATGCATACGAACACATCTAGTAAATCGGTAAACAAACAGTCATACATTTTGGATTCGCATCATAGAATGACTGGTAACATACAAGTTGGATTGTAGACACACACAGGAGCAAGAAAAACATATATGTTGCCATGAAGATCTATTCGGTAATTCAGTTGAGGTATAAGTACAGTGAATTTCCCAAATGGAGCTAAAATTAAAGTGGTCAAACTAGGTGAGGTTAGGCTAAGCGATGATCTAATTCTGAAAGATGTGCTTGTCATGCCTAATTTTAAGTACAATCTGATTTTAGCAAGTCTGTCACAACACAAATACCTCTTATATGTTTACAGCAGTAGAGGATGATAAAACTAGAGCAACTTGGATCTTTCATGATGAAGTACAAAAACTGAGACATATTCTCATATTAAATTCTTCCTCTGAAAATATTGACATAATCAAACTCACAGCTCATCCTCATAATCTGACAGCCGCTTCATCTCCCCTAATCCCTTCCTCCTCCGAGTTTCCTGCACCATCTTACCCGGTTCAGTCTCGGCATTCATTGGGTCGGGATACATTATATCCCAGTGGTCAATAACCGCTCGTGTAAAAATCTCGCCGGAAATCTTTGCCCGGAGATCGGCGAATAACCCAACAGACCCCATCACCGGCAGGTAGGCCTTGCAATTGTAGAGCATTGAGTTGCCGGGCATCTCCTCCATTTTGAACACGTGTCCACACTTGTCGTACATAGCTCGGTGGATCACGTCTAGGTCGGGCTCCATCGCCTGAAACTCGACCAAGTACATGGGCTCCAATAAACGAGGAGTTGCCGAGAGATATGCTGCGTGCATGGCACGTTCAGCAGTCTCGATGATCTGTCGCTCGAGCTCGTCTAGGTCCCGGTCGTCGATCACGGCATCACACAGCTCAAAGCAAACTCCCCTCATTCTCTCTCCGGCGAGTGGGCCCTCATTCGAGGCTCTCTGAAAACCGGCCACGACAAATTCCTTGATTTCGTCGACGGCTCCTCCCTTGCACTTGTTGACCAAAATGTTCGGGCCGGTGGTGTTGGGCCCGAAGGACCAGATGTTGTTGGCGAGGTCCTTGTCCCAGTCGAACTCCTCGTGCAGGATTTTCGAGCGGGCCTCGGGGTCGTCATTTGGGCCGATCAGCCCGTCATCGATGGCCTTGGCAAGGCCTGCTTTCAAGGGCCGGGCCTTCATGTAGAGGCGGTTGCGCGTGTCGCGAGACTTGCTCATGACGGTGTGGTCAGACCAAAAGTGGACCGACTCGTAGAAGGGCACGATGGGTTGCTCCAAATCATCCTGCAACTCCATTT